GGTTTGTTTTTTTTTTTTCCCGATGAGCCTTGTTTGTTAAATTTAGTATATAAAAAACGCCTTATGTCCACGTGTGTTTTCACAGGAGAACGAATTAAAAATGAGATTGTGAACCAATCCACAGTGCCCGGCAGAAGTAGAAAACACCTCTTTCCACCCTTTGTAGCACATAGGCTTGGGTCACTTAGGAAAGTTGACATGGTCTCCTTGGTAACAAGAGGAATGCTGTGCATTCTTTCATAGGACCTTTAGTTCCTGGAGAGCAGGACGGATTGTGACTTCTCTCCGTATCATTTATTCATTCAACACATACATTGAAGTAAATGAAGGAAGGAAGTAGGTCCATACTCACTTCCCCGCCCACCATGTCCTGCTGAAGCCACAAGGCACATCTGAGATCCTGTAACTGGAGGCTTGCATGGTGCCCACCATTCCTAGGAAAGGTCATTGACCAGGCAAGAAGCTTGAACAGAGAACAGGGTCAGGCTGGCCTGGACTGAACCCCTGAGTCTCTGAAGTTCACCCTCTTTGGGCTTTGGACTTGAAGAGGTTAGATACCCCAGGGACGGTGGGTGGGTGGGGGGGATGCTTGCTTAGACATAGCCACACAGAACAGTTGTATCTTATAAGCAGAACATAAATTAGCCACCCCACATGAAGCGCATTGGTTTCATGTGAACCCGCTTCTTCTGTGAAGACACGGGCTCCCTTCAAGACTTTGGAATATTCGGGGAGGATTGCTGTGGACTCTCCTGTCCCCTTCCCACCCTTGTGCCAGAGTGTTACTGGGTAAAGCAGCATGATGCAGGCCAGCTGTGACGACAATAGCAGAGAAGCTAATGAGATATTCCCCGGGGAAAGTAAATCTTGTCTTCCCCAAGGAGATTCCTCCTCCGGCGACAATGTTGGAACACATTGCTTTAATTTTATTTTAAATAGTAATTTTCTGGGGCACCTTACTGGCTCAGCCAATAGAGTGGGCAACTCTTGATCTGGGGGTGGTGAGTTTGATATGCACACTGGAGGTAGAGTTTATGTAATAAAAAATTTTTTTTTAATTTAGAAAAGGTGACTTTCTTATAATGCATTATGTGCAAGACGAAGACAAGGAGACCACACGAGTTCCTTTTATTATTATTTTTTTAACGTTTATTTATTTTGAGAGAGAGAGAGAGAGAGACTGTGTGCACAGGGCGGGGAGGAGCAGAGACGGTGGGAGAGAGAAACCCAAGCAGGCTCCACACCGTCTGCCCCGAGCCTGTTGCTGGGCTCTATCTCATGAAAGGTGAGACCACGACTTGACACAGAAGACATGAATAGACACTTGTCTAAAGAAGACATCCGGATGGCCAACGGGCACATGAAAAGATGCTCATTGTCACTCCTCGTCAGGGAAATACCAATCAAAACCACACTGAGATACCACCTCACGCCGGTCAGTGGCTAAAATGAATAAGTCAGGAGACTACAGATGCTGGCGAGGATGTGGAGAAACGGGAACCCTCTTGCACTGTTGGTGGGAATGCAAACTGGTGCAGCCACTCTGGAAAACAGTGTGGAGGTTCCTCAAAAAATTAAAAATAGATCTACCCTATGACCCAGCAATAGCACTGCTAGGAATTTATCCAAGGGATACAGGAGTGCTGATGCATAGGGGCACTTGTACCCCAATGTTTATAGCAGCACTTTCAACAACAGCCAAATTATGGCAAGAGCCTAAATGTCCATCAACTGACGAATGGATACAGAAGATGTGGTTTATATTTACAATGGAATAGTACTTTGGCAAGGAGAAAAAGTGAAATCATGCCATTTGTAGCAACTTGGATCAGACTGGAGGGTACTAGGCTGAGTGAAATAAGTCAAGCAGAGAAAGACATACCATCTGTTTTCACTCACATGTGGATCCTGAGAAACTTAACAGAAGACCTTGGGGGAGGGGAAGAAAAAAAAAAGAGGTTAGAGAGGGAGAGAGCCAAAGCATAAGAGACTCTTAAAAACTGAGAACAAACTGAGGGTTGATGGGGGGTGGGAGGGAGGGGAGAGTGGGTGATGGGCACTGAGGAGGGCACCTGTTGGGTTGAGCACTGGGTGTGGTATGGAAACCAGTTTGACGATAAATTATATAAAAAAAGAAAGGCGAGACCATGACTCGAGCCTAAATCAAGAGTCACACACTTAATGGACTGAGCCACCCAGGCGCCCCCACACGAGTTCCTTTTAGACTGTGGTTTACATTTTTTATCGTGGAAACAAAAGTAGGAACCCAAAATATCTTGTGCAGAATTTGCATTTTGGTCAGAATCAGAATAAAAGTAATTGCAGTTTGTTTTCTCTATCTATTGCTAACCCAGATGACCTTTTAAACTAAGGGACTTAAGACACTGAGAAGGCAAATACGCTGTGAAAACCGTGATAATGCTTTATGAAATTAAATTCATAAATTCTATCATTTCAATGTTTGAAGCTAAGCCTGTCACGTCTTTCCACTAGACTAAACATGTTTCCTTCCTCCCCACTTGATTAGTTGGGTTTTTTTTCCTTTTTTTTTCTGGGCTTATTTCAAGGATATTTTAAGTTTTGGGTTTTGTTTTTTAAGATTTTATTTTGAAGTAATCTCTACACCCAACGTGGGCTTGAACTCACAACCCTGAGATCAAGAGTTGCACGCTCCACCAGTTGAGCCAGCCAGGAGCCCCTTACGTTTGTTTTTAATCATGAACACGGCTTAATATGCCTAAAAGAATAACTCTTTTTAATTGCAAAAAGGGTGATCAAATGTGCTTGCTTTTGAGTTATCTCCTCGTATCATTTAGCGTTTATATCTTAAGAAAGAAAAGAAAAGAAAAATGTGCATTATCTTATGTCCCAGCAATTCTACTCTTTGGTGTTAAGTCATCAGTTATATTGTCTAATGTGGTAGCCACAAGATACGTGTGGCTACTGAACCCCTGGAATTGTCTACACTGCATTGAAGTGTGTGATAAGTGTAAAATACGCAATAGATTCTGAAAATTTAATATGAAAGAAAAAAGAATTTAATATATCTCATTTTAGGGGCACCTGGGTGGCTCAGTCAATTAAGCATCCAACTTCGGCTCAGGTCATGATCCCACAGTTCGTGAATTCAAGCCCCACATCAGGCTCTATGCTGACAGCTCAGAGCCTGGAGCCTGCTTTGGATTCTGTGTCTCCCTCTCTGCCCCTCCCCCAGTCACTCAGAAAAGAAATAATCAACATTAAAAAAACTAAAAGGAAAAAATAAATAAAATATCTCATTTTAATTCATTTTCAAATATGGACCATATGTTGAAGTGATAATATTTTGGATATATTGACTTAAATTTTATTAAAATAAAAAATAAAAGGGTGAATAAAATTTGTTACTGCCAATAATTGGAACTTTGGATATATGTTGCCAAAGCAGTGCTGATTCTGTTCCTTTACACAATTTTGTACAGTGTTGTACTTCATGTGCATTATGAGCATTGATGGGTGGATTTGATCATCTAAGTTCAATGTGTGATGCTGTTTTTATAGGAAAATTAACTTCCAAGATCCAAACAGTGGATTAAAAAAATTTTTTTTAATGTTTATTTTATTTTTGAGAGAGAGAGAGAGACACACACAGAGTGCGAGTGGGGGAGGGGCAGAGAGAGAGGGAGACACAGAATCCGAAGCAGGCTCCAGGCTCTGAGCTGTCAGCGCAGAGCCCAACGCGGGGCTCGAACCCATGAACTGTGAGATCATGACTTGAGCCCAAGTCGGACGCTTCACCGACTGAGCCACCCAGGTGCCCCCCAAAAACAGTGGATTTAGAAATTAACTTTCAGAAAAATCTTTCTGGTCAATTGCTTACTGTGGGTATCCCATAAATGTAATTATTTTCAATGAGCACAGGGGCAGAAACCCATCATAAAGCTATACACGTAGTCCAGAAGGTGTTTCTGGATCATTTAAAGGTGTGTC